TAATAACAGGCAGAGCATCCCAGCTCAGAGCACGATTCTCAGGTTATCAGAGCAGAAACCTCACTTGTCTTCCTGACATTATCACATGTGACCTTACACCTCTCTTGATCTGCTCCGTGGCTGCTCCTGCTGCCTCCACTTTATATCTGTGCTTCCCAGTTTCACCAATGCCCTGCCTAAGCCCTGTCTGTGAACAAGCCCAGCTTTTGCTCATCTGATGTTGGATTACCTCTCTGATTTACAGTTCGGTTTGTTTCCAGGAGAATGCACTCTCTGTACTCTCTCCGTGCTGCTGCTGCTGAGTAAGAGATCATGACATCTTTAATCTTTCCCCCCGTGAAGCCCCACTGCACTCAGCTGTCCTTGGATGCCAGTGACTTCAAAGTCAGGTGGCTGCAGGGTATGGAAATTTGAGAGGAGATTTTTTTGCCTGTTGTGATCATTTAGGCACACACCCTGCAAGTATTCATGCACACATGTATTTTTAATCACAAGAGCCCTACAGAGTAACATTTATCTCATGCTATGCCTGGATATCACAAAACACTGTTGTACTGAAGTCCCTGTGAGCTCCTCTAGCATTGCCATAATTGCTCTTATGCCCTAGAACTCTTGCCAGGGAGAATGGCTGTGGCACAGAGGAGTTAATATACTGCCATCCATCTCCAGCATGTTGTTTCCTCACTATCAAAAATGCCCTGGTGGGTAAGATAGCCCCATTTTTGGTCAAATCACTCTGTTTTGGACCAGACTAGATATACACTTTAATCTGAAAGTTAATCTGCTTCAGAAAGAGGAGGACCTGAGCACAGTAATTGCACAGTGGTTCTCTGGTGACACCAATCTCTTTCTCTCACATGTGTCCAGGTTAGTATTTATCCATACAGCAGTGAGTAAACACAGAAACATTTGAGGACTTGTTGTACCTTACAGAAATGTCACAAGCACAGTAATGACGATATCATAGATCAGGAGAGGCCACACAGTGGTATTAGATTGTTTATTTTCACTCAAAGTATAACTGGATTAGGAATATCTTCTTAAAGATGATCACTAAAACTTTTAATTTTCATGTTGATTAATGCAGATGCAGGGACAGCATGAAACTTGAAATATAACTGCTGTTGCTAATCATACAGAATCATTTATGTTGGAAAATACCTCCAAGATCACTGAGCCCAACATGTGACTGATCACCATGGCACTAAGTGCCATGTCCAGTCATTTCTTGAACACCTCTAGGGATGGTGAGTCCACCACCTCCCTGGGCAGTCCATTCCAGTGCTTAACAAACCTTTCCATGAAGAAATTCTTCCTGAATTTCACTTGTTAATAATCGCTTGTTAATCAGAGATTGTAACATGATAGAATCTATGAACCATTTAGGTAGGAAAAGACCTTGAAGATCATGGAGTCCAGTGACAAATCTCCCACTGCCAAGTACACCACTAAACCATGTCCCTAAATGCCGAATCCATGCATCCTTTAAAAGCCTCCTTGGATGGTGACTCCACCACTTCCCTGGACAGCAGGAAGTAAATAGGAGCAGATAGGAAATTTTCTGCCTTTTTTTATTCAATGAGGAGAAAATGGGGAGCATAGATCAGTCATACTTAGAAGAAGGAGGGGAGGGGAAGGGAGGAAAGGGAAGAGGAGGGGAGGGGAAGGGAGAGAGAAACAGAAACACAGCAGAAAGAAGAGAGGAATACATAGTGGAGAGAGGAATTTTTATCTGATAAAAAGGAACATATGTTGTAAGGTATGTATTTTAGTAAAGAAGCCAAATCCCTCAAATCTCCACTGCTGTCATCATTCCTATAGAGTTCCTGTCAAACTTACAATCTCAATGTGTGAAACAATCAATCTCTCCTAGCCATGGAGAGATCCCACTGTCCAAGGCACAGATCGATTTCCCTGCAAGTGCACAGACAATTCCAGGTAAGGCTTAAAAAAAGAAACAGATTAAAACAAAGGTTGAGAGAATACCTTCATTTTAGCTTCATTATGGACAAATTCCACCTCTTCTTATGTCATCTGAGGTGTCTCTCTCATGTCCATTTCTGGTTTTCACTTAAACATCATATATTTTCACTTAAAAATAAGCTTTCATTATAGAGAATTAAACTGTTACATGTAAATAAACAATACAAACTAGGAATGTTAATCAAAGATCTAAGCACATTCTCTGTGTAGAAATATGTTGGATATGCCTTTTCTATTCTCAGACTATGTAGATAAGAACAATTATAGTTATGAAACATGTATCTTGCTTACTAATATTTGAATTTTGTGCATGAGTGATGCAAGTACAGGCAGTGAAGGAGCCTCCCTTCTGGAGCACTTAGAACCTAACTGCATGTGTAATGGGCTCAGAGTCTAACTTCTGAGGGAAAAGATCAGATGGGTGTTGACAAACATGTGGAAGGTGTAAGATATTTTTCTTGGTCAACATGGAAACAACTTTTGAAGGATTGTCTTGGACTATGTGGATATTTCTTAATCAAGGGGAGGATTTTTTGTTCTTGACAACAGACAGTCTCTGTCACGGGTACTCTTCTTAATCCTGAAACATGACTTTATACAAGGATGATAGAGGATCTGAGTTATACAGGTGGTCAGCCCAGAGTGATGTCTTCTAGCCTTAAAATCAATGCATCTCTCTCAGGTATAAAAGGAAGGAAAAGACAAGTGGTAGTGTAGAGTTTGTGCATTAACAAATCACCTATAAAATGGATTGCTCCAAATTTATTCCAAAATTCCATCCAAGCCAACTTTCCTTCCACCTAACCATCACCATTTTCCCATCAGTTGCATGGCGGTGGCTTCAGGCAATACCTGACAAAGGATGATGACTTAAGACTATGAGGAGCAGAGGAGCTGCAAGTAGGCAGCAGAGTAGGCAAAAGGCAGTAGGGCAGCATATTAGAAAGACCAAGGGGCAAGAGTGGGGCCTGACAAATTGCATTTACTCCTGAAGTTAAAGACTTGGGCTTGTGCCTCCTGCTGAGGATGAAGTCTGTATCAGTGGTAAGAATATTCTCTGCACAGACAGCCTCCACAAAGCAAAGGAACACAGACGTGCATTTTCCTATAGCTACACTGAGACCCAACCATCAGACTGGCTGACTGCCATAGGGATGGACTCACATAAGGGCTTATCCCTCCTATAACTGAAAATCCAGGTTTGATTTTTGCTCTGTTAACTGTTCTGTTCCAAAGGCTTCAGCATCTTTTCTCAGTAACCACACTTGGCAATCAATATTTTCAGAGGTCGTTGACGCAGCCTTAAAGGCATCCCATCTGTGTCTGTCACCAGAAAGCTTCTCATCTCCATATATCTGCATTAGCATTCACTGGGGAATGAAGCCATATTAAAAAAATACATTGAGTGTGAGGCCTTTAAATAATACCCTAATGGATTTATTACAGAGAGTCAGTGTGTTGCAACACCCAATGAACAGTCAGGATTGAAGCCCCAGAAAACAGCAGACCCCGCACGGTTTCTTACAGACAACCCTTCAGTACGTCATTAAGCCTTCCCTATAGCAAATCAAGCCAAACACAGCATGCAAACATTTCTGTATTTCAGCCTGTGCTAAATAAATATTTTTTCCTATTGTTTTTTAATGGTAGATGTTTCCCTTTGAATTTTCATGCACTGGCACAGATCATTCTACAGTCACCTTAAAACTCTGCATGTATATGTGAATGTATGTGAATAAACTGCAGTGGTCAAACATGTAGACTAGTGAATAGACCTCTGCATGCCAATTTATTTTTTTAAAACACTGTCTGTCCATCACAGTTCCCTGCACTTGTTAAGGGATGATGTTCTTCCACCTTACCCTTATATTAAGGACTTTCCTAAACAAGATAGATTCCTAAAAATGCCCAAAGACTTATTCTGGAGAGCTGTCCTCTCTATTAGGCACTTGTTTGAGGCCAGGAATACAGCTTAGCTGAAAACCAAGACCTTGTCAGGTCTTGGCAAGAGTTCAGTTCAAAGAGTTTAGGAGAAGCTCATGCCTGATTTAACCATATGCCTCCAAAGAGCACACACAGAGTAGGCTGCCTTGCCCCAGGTCCTCCTGCCCAGCCTGGCAGCACAGCACTTTCCTGCAGGGATGTGGTGAATTGTCACTTCTGAGCATTTTAATCCGTCCAGCTGTAGGGATGCTGTGCTGAGCTGGGACACCCATGCCTTTGGGGCACTGAGGCTACAATTGCATTGCTGTGCCCAAGCCTTCTGCAAACCTGGCTTAAGTCCTCAGGCTATCTGGACTACGAGCTGGTAAAAACCAGTCTGAGGAGGTGGGACAACCAAGCCTTTACAAACATATTAACTGATGATCAGATTTGAGGATTAAAAGTACACTGTGGCTACTGTCTTCACCTTGCTTTCAGTAATCACAGTGAAGCTGAACAACCCAATAGTTAAGCTTGCTTTTGTTAAAAATACTCTCCCTTTATTGCCCAAACATAGCGTTCTTAATTGCATCTATGAATTAATTCTTCAGCCTTCTTGAGTAGCAGCATGAAAGTTTTAACACGGAATGTGACAAATCTACAAAAGTACATAAACCATAACACATCTGTGCTACAAACTGCACCTTCCACTAAAAAAGTGATTTCTTTTTTCCCTTTGGTCAGCTGCAATAAAGAAAATTAAGAGACAAACAACAGCATTTCCAGCGACTCTGCTAGTATCCCCTCTATGTTCACTCACTTCTAATATTTTCAGCCATTTCCTCTGGTACAGAGGAGGCATCCACACCCTGGTGTGCACACACACGTGCACAGATGGACAAATAGCATCCTTCCAGCAAGGAAAATGCCCTTCATGAGGTTATAGACCACTGAAGGCTAAACATTTCTTTACGACACCCCACAGTTGTTGTCAGGGAAGGAGTAAGACACCACAATAACTTTTTCTAAAGATCACTGACATGTTTTTGACATTCCTCCCCTTCTTCCAGCAGACAAATATTTTATCAGTTTACCTTTAATGTAATATGCTTCCTGTCTCCTTCCAAAGTGTCTGGCCAGAAGAAATTACCTTTCCTGCCACAGAACAAGTTTCTCTTTATTTCAGTATGTCTTGCCTCCTGCAAGCAGAGCAAGAAGTGACCAAGGCTGTGAGCGCAGGAGCCACTGGACTGCTGGGGATGCCGGGCGTGAAAGGCGCGTTTATTCTGACTCTCCCAAATTCCAGCCCCTTGGCTGTAGGCGTCTACCCAGCACTCCTTGGACTGAGTGTGGAGAATCACATTTCTGCTTGATCAGGCTGTCTGCCTGGAGGAAGATGATTGCAAGCAGATGTACCCGTGTTCTCATGTGAAAGGAATTTGGGCTTTTGTGTCGACTGTATGATGAGCGACCGGCTCCAGGGAGTATTTTAATGCTCCTTAATTCCTTGCAGGTGCTGGGAGGCAGTATGTGCCCGTGCAGCAGAGCTGAGACCCTTTATCCAGGAGGGATGGCACACCTGGGGTCAGCAGGAGGGCCAGAGGCAGAAGGCATGACCAGCACGCTCACCTTACTGCAGGGAACAAGGCTGTGTTTCATAAAGACCTATTCTCCTGGTAGAACACCAGCTGTGCTCAACCTTACAAGGCTACAGCAGCAAAATTATGTTTTACCACAAGTGCAGTGATTTTTACCTCTTGTTATGGGTGATCCAGGAGGAATAAACAAGGTGGACATCAATAATATCAAATTAATTTATCTGAATCTGTAACTAATCAGAAACAGATGAGTGTGGCATCTGCATATTAAAAAGCTTTTTTTTTTTCATTGAAACACCCCAGTACTGTTGCAAATGCCCAAGGAAATCACAATCAGTGTAAAAAAACCAAGAAACTTTTTATGCAGTTACAGCTGTATTTTGGAGGTATATTATGTTTTTTTTAGCTAATGGCTAAGACAAGATACATATCCAGACATTCAGTGAAAATGGATGTACCCTTCAGACCATACCTCAGGATGTCTGGCCCTGCCAGGGTGAATATTCATGGGACATATCTGGACATACAGTGTCAAAGGAGCTCTGTGCAGTCCATAAGGACCCAGACACTCCACACCTACAGGCAGCCAGCCACATGTCCACCTTCATGCAGCAGTATAGAGATGTGTGGCTGTATTTACTGCCACCACTTGGAAGTAACATGATCACACAGACCTCAAAAGTACCTCTACTGTGGCTTGCTGTTTATACAGCAAAATGCAGTCCACATGGCATAGGCATTTAAACCTACAGGAACAGGACCTGGAAGCCACCAAAAGCCTTTTCTTTGCTGACTCCACAGAAAACATCAGTGTTTACTTGAACAGATGCCTTCTTAGAAAAATAAAATTTAGGTTCAGGTCTGGTCTGTGAGGCTCCAATGTAGCGAATGCTTTTTTAGCAGCAAAAGTGAGTTAAGCAAACTCTGCCCTGCTTTTCCCCACATTGCTGTATCTGCCTACACAGCTCTTCATAGAGCCATGCAGTGGTCTGGATCAGGGAAGAAACTTTGGCAGAAGTACCCCCAAGGAAAAGAGAGAAGTGACCTTCCCATCATTTCAATTGATCTCCTGATCCACCGTCTCACTGACTGAATGAGCCACAGCACAGAGGACAGAATAGCATGTAGGGATGAGAGCCATGTCAGCTGAGACTCAGACACCACCAAGAACAGCCTCTCTTCTCCCTTCATCTCTTGCAGGAGCTACTCTCACTGATTACAGCACCTTGGTTCCAACAGCATGTCTCTTCACCCAGACGGTTCAACTCACTAAATCAGCAGAAGAATAATCTGACAGAAGAAAAGCCCAGCAAAATACCAACCCAGCAGCAAGGGCACTGGGTTTTCTATCCCTGTTTTAATTGCACAGTGGCAGCAGCAACACATTTTGTGATAAGGACTGTACCAACACATAGGGCGGTTTGCTTGCTGTAGTTATTCCTTAAGCAGATCTCGTAACATTTCAGCCTGTTTGATGGAAAATGAAGAAACCTATGGAGAGACGTTTGCTCAGAAGCCACTGGATGACAAACCCCTCCAGTATTTTTTCTGCAAGGGCTTTAAAATCTCTGGCCTTCTGTTTGGCCCAAAGGTCTTTTCTTCTGTGAGTCATTTCCCTGCAGTAGGCAAAGGGCCGCCAAACAGAGCAGTTTTGGGAGAGAAATCCAGTCCCTGGGAGGCTTTTGGGCTGGGAGGTGGAGAGACAAATCTGTCACTGGTATCACTTTTACATCAATGGAGGAACAAAATGTGGCTTGGTTGCTTTTTATCATCTTGCTAACTCCAACTTCTGCAGCAAGAAGATAGTGCATGTCCCTCCCTGCTTGTCTCCAAGCACTCATCTTCATGCAGGTTTTTGTCTGCACTTACCTTGCTGAGTATTTAGAGACTGAAGCACGTGCCAAGGAATTGCCCTGTGGTACCTTATGGCCTCTTATGCAAGAGGCACCTGCCTGTGTGGCCCCACAGACAGGGCTTCATGCAATCTCTTCTCTATTGTACACACCTAGCTCATAGCACCCTGACCCTCAGTGTCCAGATGCCACAGAGCAGGGCATGCTGAGGGCACCCAGCCCTTTGCTGTAGGCCCTCTTGGATAACTGACGTGTTGCTGATGTTACACTCATGTGGATGAAGCCACTGATGGGGAGATTCATTGCTCCCTCTTCCTGATGGCCACGTCCCAAGGCACTGTCTCCCTGCCAGAAGAGCCCAATGGTGCCTTGCTGTGCCATTACCAGGGGCGCAGTGAGATGGCAGCTACATCAGAAAGGCACTTCAGTCAAGCTCATGAGCAAGAACAATCCTGCCACATGGCCTAAACCAGGCTCCTTTTGCAGACTGCATTTCCCAGACCGACCATTTGGCACATGGATGATACAACAAATTACCCATCAGACAGAATTCTAATTTCCTGCCTGTTTGGATAACATACTGATAGGTAGCAATGCTGAGGAACCCTTCATAATACAGGAACTGAAATTTCACCTAAGAAAAAACTCTGCATAAAAGCATTCCTGATGTTGTTCACAGCCACCTTTCTTACAGTCTGTGACTCTAAGTCTGTGATTTTTTGTAATCAAAACTTGCCTTCATGAGCCCAGTGTCCAGGAGAACAGCTCTTAAGCAACACCCGAATTCAGACCTACAAATCTTTTTGGGCTAGAACCAGTTGCTCAGACAATTTCTTTCAAAAACTAAAAAGTAAGGATTAAGAAAACAGTCATGAGAAAAATCATGTAAGACTGGGTGAGAATTTTGCCTCGGTATATAACCTTGTGTTATTAAAGCAGTAACTGGAGCAGAAAGCTCCTTCTAGACAGATGTAAAAGGAAAAAAAAAAAAAAGGGGTGTTGACGAGTCATTAGTCTGAATTACTGGAAAGTGGGCAGCAAACTGACAGCTAGCTTCCAGCAAATTTACTATGTAAAGGTTTAGTAGAACCTACCCAACCAAAGATTTGAGAGGACTTTCACTCCTGATCACTAAGAAAGGCTTAGACATTACCCTGAGGAACCTTCAATATTTAGAAATCTGATAATGCAGATGCGATGGGGAAATGTCAGCAGAAGAGGGCTGCTTTCAGCACCATGGGAGATGGACAGAAGGGAATCCTGTTCATGAAGATATTTTATTTCAGATTGTTTGACCTATATTATTTAAATAGCATGCCAGCCTAAATCAGAAAGAAAGACAGTTTCCTTTTTTAAATTTGCAATTTTGCTTCATGTTGTCTATAATAGTTGTAAGCAGATTCTGCAGTTACTGAGCTATATAGTAACTAAATCATCTATTTTGGGGAAATTCTTCCTATTCTCCTGCTGACTCTGCCTCTTTTGGCTGCTCCCCCTGCCTCCTCACATTCCAGTCATGGCTCTGTTTATATGCCTGTATTTCACAGCACCAGTAACTCAGACTGGAATGTATTTGTACCTCTATCCCTTATGCTAATGGACCATGCTATGAATGGCCCCTTCTGTGAGGACACGTCTGAGCTCTCAGAGCTGAGCAGCATTTTGTTGAAGTCCTTGACACACAGGTACCCTGCTGCCAGCTTTATCCAATAAATTACTACATAATTTCTTTTTTTCTTTTTGGTGGAGGGGTGGGTGGAGGGGGCAAACCACAGCATCTCACCCACCATCACCGTGTCCCAGTTAAATGAGTGAATTCCATCAAAATCGTCCTCCCCTTCGGACTTCAATATTTGTCTAAAGCAGATGGCCCTATAAATAATACATCCTAGGAAACCCAATCAGTCACCTCTGGGATATGCTTGAGCTCCTGTCTCTCATCATATCATCACTAGATTAGCTCTGGGAATTCTTTTAATTTAATCCTTTTAACAGGTCATGTGTGTAAGAAGCAGTGACTGGGAAATTAGATGCATTCAACTGGGGTACATCGTCAGTAGCCTGGAGCCAGCAGGTCCCCAGCTCACTGCTTTCAGGGACATTTCAGGGACTGCTTTTGGGAACTTCTTGAGCATTGCACTCTGCTGCTGACCCCTCACTACCTGAGCCTGAGGCAAAGTGGCCCAGGACTGGTGTGGCTGAACATGGGGAGGTCAGGAAAGGGGCCAGGGGCCAGAGTATCTGAGCAGCACCAGCACATGCAGCCAGAGCGATCTCAGCAGGGAGACTTCAAGCAGGGAGGTACTTTCTGTCTTTGCTAGCAATGGAAAATGTCATATTTATTTTAGGATGTAAGACAGAAATCTATAAATTCTATTTTCTTTGTCTTTAATACCCCTCACTTATAGAAATTACTAGATTTTAGTAGGTGCTCAGAGACATCCCACACTCACCCAACCTCACTCCAGGCAACTGGGAAGAAATACCAAGTACCAGTGATAAGGTGGGTCCTTTTTACAGTTACACATACAGAGACACCAATCTTAAGGTTTTCTCTCCTCTTCCCCTCCCTCCCCTGCTGCAGCCTGAGCTCCATGCAATTGGCAAAATTGACAGTGGTGCAGCCCCAGCTGAATTTCATCTTCCCAACCTCCACTGTGCTGGGAAATGTGTTTACAGCACAGATCTGTGAACAGCTTCACCAAACTGACCCCAACTAACAAAAAAACCACAATGCTTCCTCAAAACAAAGCAAAGAAAGAAAACTCTCCATCTGCTATTAAGCTGGAGCTTCCCAAGGCC